GATGAATTTCAGAGTGAAAGTGGAAGCTGTAGGGTGGAATGTTTGGAGATGGTGCTGCTGGAGTTTAGAGTTGGGTAAGTTAGGAGGAACTTGAATGAAAGTTAACTCTGGGCAGCAAAGGCTTTTCACAGATGGTATCCAGGAGGGAACAGGATGGAAAACCTGCCAGCTGCTCCTGTGCTTTACTTTTTCCATATTGCAGTAGAAACGGGGGAAAAAACAGGAAACATTTGCTGAGCACATCGAGATGTCACAAGAAGGCCTGAAACCAGCCTTGGGAAAATGTTAATTGCACAAACATGTGATATGTGTGTGTTTAGAGCAGTCTAATGCTTGTACAAAGCGTTATCTTAAATTCCAGTCAGAGCAGTGGCAACAGAGGGCACACACGTGAGGAAAACTCAGAGGCTTGTGACCACTGTACAGCCCTGCCACAGGCAGGAAAAGGGGTCTCCTCCCCAGCTTTCTCTTCCCTAGAGATGAGGAGATGGCTCTTTTCTCACTTCCCTTTTGCAGTGTTGATTTGGTGAGATGGGTCCCAAAGGCTTGGTAGGACTCTGTGGGGTTTAAATGTGTGTGGCAGTGGCATCCACATAAACCAAAGCAGCGTTTGCAGCGTTGCTGGCAGGCTGCAGAGCACAGGCAGGTGTGACTGGAGTTACTGCACTCAGGGGAGCAAGGTATTTAGTAATGGTTGATAATGAAGCTTTTTTCTTTCAGTCTCCTTGGAACTGATTGGCACTGGCTGCAGTTGCAGGGAGGCTGCTGAACTAGATTGGCATCTGGCTCAGGGCAGTGAATTCCCTGATTCTGCAGACTTTAGGAGATGAAATACTGGCTCCATTGAGGGCAGGAGACTACAGCCAGAATTTTAACCATCTGTGTTTTCCAGGAGCATGGGAATTATTGCTCTTCTAGGCACATCTTTTTCAGAAATGGAGACAATGGGCCACAAATCTCAGTAACACTGAGACTGGGAATGCTGATTGAATGCACCACATTTGCATTAATAGATTGTTCATTCACATTCCTACCATTGCTCTGGGCTTGGATGAGGGGAAGGAAGAAACAAAAGGGAAGGAGAAAAGAGGCACAGAGTTGACTTCCCCACCTTCTCTGCCATTTGCATTGTCCTAGCAGAAATGAGGGGTTTGGGATGCATCTAATGCCTGTTAAATGCACATGAGTGCACTGTTGCTTATGTGTTCTCCTGCCTGTGTTTAGAGAACATTCCAAATGGAAAATCATCCTTCCTAAATTGAGTTTATTAACCTGAATTCCTGCTAGGTCAGTAGTATTTTCCTTTGGTGTCCTGAAATCGATACCTAATGTATGTGCACTGCCACAGAATGATTAATGTGTGTACAAATATGAAAAATTTTTCTTCAATGTCAGAAGCCCAAAGTGTCATTTATCATGATGTTCATTTACCAAAAGATGGGCTGGTATCTTCAGCTGACCCTGCAACACATGGGTGAGGAGTGTATCTTCCACCCCTGGCAGTGCCCAGGGCCAGGTTGGACAGGGCTTGGAGCATCCTGGACAGTGGAAGGTGTCCCCACACATGGCAGGGGGTGCCACTGGATGGGCTTCAAGGTCCCTTCCAACCCAAACCATCCTGGGATTCTACTCATCATTAGAACTTCTTGCTCAACCTTCTTGATTGACGTGTTTGGGAAATACAAAGCACTGAGAAAAAAGTATCATTTTTTAAAAAAAGTTAACTTCAAAAATGGTTTTGAAAGTGTTTGTAGTTTAACTAGACTGAATTGGCTTACATGGTAATGCCTCTAAAAATTATTATAGAAAGTTCAGGAAATGCTGGCTTAGAAGTTGATAATTGATGTTTTGAAGAGAGCAGCTCTGTAATACAGAGGTTCTGGGCTGGGAGATGAAAGGGTATTTTCTAGTGGCTCACTGCTGCAGGAGGTGTGCCAGCACTCTGGGACCTGCTTCTGGATTTATAAACAGATCTCCAAATTAATAGTAATTAAGGCCTGGATTTGGAGTGCTTTTTATAATGCATCATGATTGTTCTGTGGTGTTTGTTAGCTAAAGCAAAGGGTCCTCCTCCACAATGGGGGCTTTTACGCAGTGCAAATTGCCAATAATTGTAGAATAAGAGAAAATTACTCTTTAGGACAAAATTACAGGCTAGGTTAAAATATATATTTTAAAACCACACAGGACTATGACGAAATACAGGTTTTAGTGGCATTTAAGATGACTTGGAAAATGAACTGTAATTTCATTTCTAGTGAGTAATGAAACCATCTTGAATAAAACTTATTTAACCTCAGTGGAGCACCTGCACAAAACAGAAGGCAAAAGGTCTGTCTTGTCCAGGAAATGAACAGTACTTGTAAGGGATAAAATGAAAGCATATTTGAGCTGCATGTGAGAAATTGCAGGGCTTCAGTCCTCCAGGAACGTTCCTGCTTGTGCTTCAAGTAGCCACTATGGGGCTGTAGCAGTGGGAGCTGCTGGGAGCAAAGAGATGGCAACAGGTGAGGTGAGAACAGAAGTCATGGGGTCACCTGGCCAAAAGAGGAGACCCAGGATTCCCTCCCAGGATGGGGAAAGAGCTGGCTTAATATGCAGGGCTCTTAATAAATAAGAATATTGAGAGAGATAAGAACCGGAGGTAATTATGAACATATAATGGGTTCTGTCAAGAAGGACATTTTTCAGAAAGGACAGATGCTTCAGAGACTGGAGTTCAGAGGCTCAGGGTTAACAGCCTCATCAGCTGTAAGAACAACCCATTTACCCACTGAATTAGTGAGTGTGGCAAACGAGAGACCTCGTTCCCCTTGGTCTCATCTCACAGGAAGAATTAAGTCATGCTCCAGACTGACTGATGATGGAACTTCTGAGCGCAGTGTGCAAAGTCAGGCAGGTGCAGAGACACCTTGGGATTGTGCTGGGACAGAGGGATGGGTCATTCAGGTGAGGAAAAGGTTACTTGGGTTCTAGCATTGATTGTGCAGAGCCACTGAGATGGTTCCATCTTTTGGGAAGATCTTGTCAATAGACAGAGAAGCAGTTTTGTAATATTTCTGTGGATGTTTGTGAACTTAAATTACTCGAGGCGCTGGAGTTTGTCTTTCTGCCAGGAGTGCTTGGTGGGAGAGCAGGAGGCATTGGGGATCAGTTGGAGCAAGGGAGGTTCTGACTGGGTGCAAAGAGGGAGTTCTGCTCCATGAGGTAGAACAGGTTGTGCGGTCTCCACCCCTTGGGGATTTTTGAGGTCTGACTGGACAAATCCCTAAGTAACCAGCTCTGACCTTGTAGCTGATTTTGCTCTGGTTGTTCCCTTACTTCCAAAATTATCCTGCCATTCTGCATCTGTAAAGGTGGGTAGAGTGGTAGGGGAATGAGGGAGAGAAACTCAAGATTGTAGCTTCATTAAGCAGGAGAAAAGTTGAAAGAAGTTGGATTTTTTGTTCCTGTGAATACCTTGGAGGGACTTTTGGATAAATATCAAAGATGCAAAATAATACCAAAACAAGGTCAAGATCAAAGGACTGCAAGTTGGTTGGAAGTACACTGGGAGAGGGGAACTAGAAACAGAAAGTTTCTTGGAGGAATGAAGTTATGGAAGGAGTCCCCAGGTGGGACTCAGAGAGGGAAGAAAATATGTAACAGTTGGAGATGAACTGTTCAGGGTTATGGAAGGAACTTGACAGGACAAGAGTGATTTATATGTTAGGATATATAAATCCTAATCCTAAATGTTAGGATATATGAATCCTCCTCCAGTCTGGCTGTCCTGCAGGATTGGACCTTTTACTGGTGCATTCCCAGTGCATTTGTGATAGGTATTCAGTGAGACTTGTGAAAATAGGGGGTTGAACTGTGGCAGATCTGATCATTTCCATGTGCAGAACACTTAGGATGGGGTGACTGTGGCTGGCTGCCCATCCAGCTGTGCCCTCACCCTGCTCCTCAGCAGGATGCAGAAGAAATAAGATTAAAGTTACTGAGTCAAGATGGGATCACTCCCAGTTACTGTAATGGCAGAACAACCTTGACTTGCAGAAAATCAATTTAATTTCTCGACAACTAAAGTAATTTGAGTGGTAAGAAAAAAAACAAACTAAAGTACTCTCACTGCTGGTTCCCCATTTCAGCTCCCTGCCTTCATTCCCAATTCTTCAGCCTCATGCTCTACCCTGGTCTCCCCAGGATGACACCCAAAGCTGCCCTTCCTCCTCTCTCTCCTCCTCTGACCTGCCCACTCCAGGACTGTGCCTCACACTTGCCTCACTGTCCCGTGGATTTCCCTGTCTTGGATGTGCTTCAGGGATGTGCCCCCAGCTTCCCTGGCTGCCTCAGCTGTGGCTCCATGGAACCAGCTCCAGCTGTGCCCCCAGCCTCTTCCCACAGCTCCCCCAGGGGTTTGGCCTCCCCAGCCCAACTGTGAAGCCATTAAGTGGGCTCTGGGTGTTTCTGGAGAGCATTTTTATGGAAAAGGTGGCCTGGGTTGTGCAGCACTGCTTGAGTGAGCTCCGTGGTGTGTCCTAGAGAAACTCTGCTCTCGGCCACACTGAGAACGTTCATATGCAAATATTTATCTCAATATTTTCCTTGTGGCACTGTAGAGAGGCTTTTGTAGCTGAAGGTGGTAAGTGAAGGTGTTTTGTAGGCTGCATTGTAGAAGCTGTGGCTGCCCCATCCCTGGAAGCGTGCCAGGCTGGAGAGGGCTTGGAGCAGCCTGGGATAGTGGAAGGTGACCCTGCCCATGGCAGGGGGTGGGTCTGAATGAGCTTTAAGGTCCCTTCCAAGCCAAACCATTCCAGGATTCTGTGATTATTTGGTGTGTCCGCCTTTACGCCATCCATGTTTAACGTTGTCCCGTCAGCTGTTAAGGCTTTTAAAGAGTTGGAGAGCATCTTAACTTTTCCAAAACTACATTCTTGAGACTCGACTTGAACTTTCAATCTTTGGCGCCGTGTTCAGAACATCTCAAACTTACCGTTCTTTTGGTTTTCTTGCAGGTCTGCCCAGGTTCACGAGCCAGCCCGAGCCCACCTCCGCGTACCGCGGCGGCAGCGCCGTGCTGGGCTGCGAGGTGACGGCCGAGCTGGTGCCGCTGCTGCGCTGGGAGCGCGACCGCCGGGCGCTGCCCCCGGAGCCGCGGCTGCTGCAGCTGCCCGGCGGGGCCCTGCTGCTCACCAACGCCTCGGACGCCGACGCGGGGCTCTACCGCTGCGCCCTGGACACCGGCGGC